ATGGAATGTCACTGCACCACATGAGAAATATACCTAAGATTAAATAAACAGGTTTCCTTCTCAAGCTAAAACATTTATCTTTGGCAGTTGATAATCATCCCGTATATCCAATTGTATAATAACGTTCTGGTCTATAACTGAAATCCTTACTGTATGTACTTCTGGCTGATGAGGACCTGCCACATAGAACAACTTCTCCTACATCTCTGGCCCCAACAATCAGTGGCAGTGGGAGGAGCTTGTAGAGGGAACCATACTGCAGGTATGCTGCTCTTAGCTTTCTGCATTCCCTTTCTCATTTCTGCTCAGTGTAAGTGGAGGGGAGCATTTGGCCAATGGCTATTTCCTGTATTCTTTCTGGTGAAATTTACTCTAGATAAAGTGCTACACAGAGCTCTTTATATAAGATGCACTTTTGTTATCCCATGCAATTCCACAAAGAAGTGTGCATTCAGGCACAAAGAGCACAATCTGCTCTCCCCCATGAAATATGTATACTAACCCCTTGGGTGTCAGTTAAGATGTATGGTGTACATCCTGCACAAAGGCATTAATATGGCTTTAGCCATGCATCCCTTGTTTCTCCTCTTGTGCCTTATAAGGTGTTGCTTTTTGCTTAAATGAGGGCACAAGGAGAAGAGTTAAATAACATTTGAAAGGGTGCCTCAAACATAGCTGACTACAGAAAATTGTACCTTGCAGTATATGACCAAAATGTGCTATTACTGTTTAGAATGAAGATCACCCTTCTTGAATAAATGAAATTGGAGAAGGAGTAGTTTCTCCATTCCTCTTCCTGGCTACTGGGTTGTGGGACTGCAGTGCAGCTCCTCTATGGCTGTTGTTCCAGCTATTGTCCAGAATAGCAATCACTACTGCTCTGTATCTCCTATGCAGAGTTTCTGGTCCTTTTGATGTGCATAATACATGGATCTGCTCTCAAGCCTCTCATTTAACAGTGAGTGTGTGTTTGTTGTACTTCCCCCCTGCAAGGCATGTAATAAGTCCAGAGACTTCCCTCCGCCTATGCCATCCACTGCCACTCTATCCATAGTTCCCCAGAGACCCTCTCTGGCCTTAAATAGTACCTACCAAAAGTTCTGCACTGCCTCTCTGCACCAAGTAGACTCAATGATGATTTTCATTCCAAACCAAAGAACATAATTGTAGAGAAATACAGCTCCTGTTTATCTAGACATTGTTACTTTGGAGTTCCGTTTTGAGAGGAATACTGAATACACTGTGGTCTACATTTTCAAACATATCCACTCACTTTGGATGTCTGCCCAGCCTGAGACACACAGGGCCTGCTTTTCAGACGTGCTGAGCATCTATATTTCCTATTGAAGCCCATTGGAATTGTAGGTGGTCAGCCCATCTGTAAAGTTAGGCCCTATGTGTCTCAGGCCGAGCACTCAATGTTGAAGCCACCCTAAGTTAATGGACAATGGAAAGTGGAGGCCTTTGACTTTTCCCCCCAAAATCATTACATATGTGGTTTGGCTATGCTGAGGTATGGTTGCAAGATGCTTTCACATTTAGTTTAACTGTGCTGTTGTTGAGATCTGCATGGATCTTTTAAAAGTTCTTTCTTTAGTAGGCAATCTACTGGATCATAAGAAGCAGTATAGTGTGGAAATACTAAGGTCCAGGTTAAAAAGAGCCTGGCTTTCCCCACGTTGACTTCCTCCTCCTGGGCAACCCCAGACACCTATACTGCCATCTGAAAGACATCATCCTCTTCATAGCAGTGGCATGGGCCTGTATCTCCAATGGAGCAACAAGAGCATTCACTCTTTCAGTGGTTAGTCAAAGTGAGAACAGCAACAGCAATGGGAGAGAGCACACATCTAGCTCACTCAGTGGAGAGACCTAATAACTGTTGCTTCCCCTGTGGCCACCAATGCCTCAGCTTTGCCTTCTGCCCTGTTCATATGTGGGGCATTGGATGTTAGGATTGCAGGACCAGGTACAGACTCCTGGGCTGATTCTGTAGGTGCAACCGGCTGTAGTCCGTAACTGATGTAGATTTGTGTGAATATTCTATTAAACACGTGCTTGTGCATCCTAACCCTCAACATCCCATCTCCCCACCCAAACCAGCTAATGATAGCTGAACATGGTACTTATGTGAAATTTCAGATGTACCTATCTTAACATTTTAAAGCAGAATTGGATTTCTTCACCAGCTTCAAATATCTCTACTATAGTTTTAAACAATTTTACATTTTACAATTTCATTCCTTGTGTTTTCTAGATGAGGAAGGACAGCTGGTATATGGGTACAGAAGGTATCAAACTAGCATTCTCTTCTATGCCCTTGTTTGTTATTCTGTGAATGTAAGAAATGTCTCTAGTCAATTAAAAGAATACACTATCTAAATTAGAATAATAAAACTAGATTATGTTAAAAAGGCTAGAAATATAAATCCACCCTTCAGGTCTGATCTGGCAAACATTTCCACACATGCTTAACTTTACTCACATGAGGATGCTCACAGAACTCAGTGAGCCTATTCACATCCTTAAAGGTAAGTATGTGCATGTTTGCAGATTGGGGACTTTAGTTAAGCTAAGTATTGACCAAAAATCTAGAAAGTGACTGTAGCTCAGAATTTTCCTATTTCCAAAATTAAGCTACACTCTACTCAGACAAAAATGAAAAGAAGCGGCAATGCTATTAACGTGCTCTTGGACTGGTTTATGTAATTTGCTTTTGTTGCTTGATGTACAAATTGTTTTCTGACACTTCATATTTTGCCACCCTTTTTCCTTGTCTTGGGGAAAGCTTTTTGTGTGACAGGCTTATAGATTTATCTCCTCCTTAACTGCAAGATTCTAATCTCAGCTTTGCCAATGACTGTCTCAGTTTATCATTTGTAAGAAGAATTATACATTGCTTTTTGCCTAGTCTCACAGAAGCTTTTAAGGCAAAAATAATATTTATAAGATACTTTCAAATATATGTTTGTAAAAAGCTAAACAATTATTAACTTTGGTTTCTGTGTGCTCTTTTTATTTAATACTGTATATATGCATCTACAATAATTCTTTTTGCATCTAATTTTTTTCATAGAGGATAGAGAATACATTGCAGTGCTTCCATGAAACATTGTAGGAAAACTGAACAGCCTCTGTATATAACACCATATTCATAAAGGCTTAAAAGAGAATTAAGAGGGTTATGGTATTATTTCATCAGCTTTGCTGTTAGAAATGTACTGCACAGCAGAACAATGCTGTGTTCTTAAACAGAAGAATCCCAAGTACAATTAAGTATGGGAAATTCTAATAAATTAAAGCTGTATTTGTTAAAGTTAAGTAAAATAGACTTTGACTTTGCAAATGTGTTTAATGTTTTACAGCTAGCCCTGAAACCAGGGGGAGAGGGTCCACAAGAGATGTGACTGTGCCTCTACCTGCATTTCACTTAAGTGGGAAACTGTCCCTATTCCATTTGAGGAAAAACAATAGAATCCATTTTGCTCTTCTGATACAGTTTGGATCCTCCCTACATGCGATAGGGGAAGGTGGTAAGTATTAAACAGATTCTTTTATTTATTTATTTTTAATGGTGAGCAGGTCCTGCTTCGCTTCTGGGCAGAACAGCACTAAAAGATTATTCTCCTTTGACTGAACCTGATGTGGTTTAGCTATGGGCTGTGGAAGGGAGGAAGAGAAACAGATGCCAGTTATATAAGTAGCAAGACTCTTTGTGATCATGAGTTTCATTCTGTGTTTCATCTGTATTTTTATATCCATTTAGAGGACTGTGATGCTTTAACCTGAGTTAATATTTCAGGTTAGATCATAGTGTTTCCTTCAGTGCTGTGTTATTCAAGAATAAAATCCCAACAATGCAGTAGAGGAAAGAAGTTGCAATTTGTGTGCAACTGAGGGTCAGGAAAGCATACACCAGAGCCCTGAATTACAATGTAAATGAGTGCATTAGGAGGCCTTACATAAAGAAAATCCTTATGGTTGGCATGGTAGGTTGTGCATAAGACAAATAGTATTTAATATGTATCATAAAATAGGAGCAAAGAAGAGTCATCGAATAACTCAAGGAGGATAAAGCATGTTTGATAGCTCTTCTTCCCTTTGAAAGATCCTTTGGCATCTCCAGAACAGCCACCATAACAGTCAAAACGTCAAATCTCACAGCTAAAGAAATATTTTCCACAGTTTTGTTCTATGATGAATCAGAGTTGCAGAAGTCCTATGGAACTTCTTATATGATAATTACAGTACCCTAGATACCTTAGGTAGGGTAACTCACAGTTTTGCTTATTCAGGGATCTGCTTATCAAGGTTTGACTGAAACTGCCAAAACCAAATAGCTGTGGTTTAACTTACAAGACCTAGTGGCAAAGTCTGCATTTCTTGTAAGTTGTACAAGACTTTAACACTGTGGGATAAATATTGGTTTATGTTTTCAGAAGTGACTAGTGATTTTTCGCTTGCCCAATTAAAGAAACCTGAAAGATATCTGATTTTCAGAGGCCAAATTATTTAAGGTGTCTTAAGTTGAGCACTCAAAATCACTAGTTGCTTTTGAAAATGTAGATGCATATCTTTTAGAATTCCCTGTCATGTGAATGTTTCACTTTACAACCTCATTGTTACATTAAACACTTTTCCTCCTTCTCTCTCTTCCCTATGTAGTCTGTATAGCATACAACATAAGCTTCAGCTAAGAGCTGAATGAGCAGAACTTTGCCTGGAATTAGCTTCTTCAAATTGTATGCGACTTTCTGAGATGTTACCACAGAAGTCCAATAACTGTAAACATTTGAACAGTTGAGTGCATTTTCTAAGAGGCTACAAATTCCCTAAAGAATATCATACAAGCCATATAGCTTACATGAATGAAATTGGATGAGATTTTTCAATTTTGCAAATACTAAAAGAAAGGCAAATTGTTTAGGTCCTTCACGCCGTTCTATTTTCATCCCCATATTCTGAACTTCAAGAGGAAAGTTTTCAAAGGAAGTTCCTACCTGTTTCATAGAGTGCTTCAGATACTGAAGTAAAATGATCTTCTACTGTATATTGTGCCAACCGGAGTGTCTCCAAGCCTCGAACTGAATCATTTCCTCTGGTCCAGTAAAACTGGACATCATTGATATTATAGCCCCCTGTAATTATAGACAAACCAACAAGTGAACGTTTTTGTTAAATATAATAAATAGTTTGTGTAGAACATGTTTGTCTATGATCCTTTGCCATTTGTAAAAAAAGTAAAATTGGATTATAAATAATGCAATTTTATGACAAAATTTGAAAATGTAATCTGAGTGCCTGGTCTCAAAAGAAATACTATAGGTGGTGGAGAAAAATAAAAGCTGGTATAAACTGACAAATAAAAGGATGTGTTGTACAGGACATTTAAAGGCAAAGCCCATCAAGTCCAACAGGAAGAGGGAAAATTGCTGGAGCTTGGAAATGCAGAGTTTATAAACTACATATGCTATAACATGGAGACTTCTTTACAGGCCTACTGGTTGTGCATGCTTTAGGGAAGGCTTCTCTTAACTGGCATAGATGATTGGCACCCAAGGTGGGAGAAGTATCATATAACAAGCAGCAATTGTGCTGTGTATACATTAATCAGTACATGGCTTATACATCGATAAAACACCTTTGAAGAGTATTTTACATTAAATTAGAGGGTGGCCAGTTTATACATTAATATATACGGTCCAGTTGAGAGTATGTACACCTAGGTATTAAGAGCAAGCATTTGAATATCTATTTTTGTTTACATAGATCGATCATTTTTGCATTTGACAGACACTGTCTCATTGTTGCTCATTCTGCTGCCCTGTGGAATAACTCAATTCCAATTCACTGCAAAGTGACGTTCACACTGATGTCCAAAATAGCTTTGAGTCACTTCAGAAATGAAGATGTTCATAATTCCAGGTTTCATCTAACTTTATGAACTGGCAGTGGATAAAAACAATTCTTGAAGCCTGAGAAAGTTGTGAGCAAGCACACTACAGAAAGAAGGCTTTTATTTTCTTTAATAGTCCCCATTTTTTTGGAAAGGTAAATAGTTCTATCTGAGCAATTCACAGATTTAAAGCATATTTTGGTATCAAAATATATTCAAAATATTAATCGTATCCATTACCATTTATGAAGAACTTTGGGAGGGAGGGGGTCCTTCATGACTATCAGGCAAATTACATTTTGCATAGAAATATTACATTGTTTCCCCACACTAATGTTATTCTTAGGGTGGGGCATGAGTTTTGTATATGACAGCATGTTAGAGGAAGTTTGTATTGACAAAAGCTTTGAAACTGATAGGAACAAAACCACTGAGTGGTTTTTTAATTGGTATTCTCTTGTCTCTTTAAATGACATTGAGTGGGAGGAGCTAACTTTTACATCCATACTAATGCCTCAATCCTGCAGACTTCTCATGTTCTTTATGCGCTGTAAGTAGTCCTAAAAAAGTTAATAGGATACTCACAATGCATAAAGTTAATCACATGAGTAGGTCTTTGCAGGAACTTTTCCAGGCCTAAAGGTTTTCAGAATCTCATAAGTAGATTTCTTTTCTCCTCAGACTCTATGTTTTTTCCCTGATTCTCAAGAATAAATGCAGGACCTTCACTGAACAGAAGTTGAAGAGCAAATTCAAAAAGGAAATATCTGTTCAAAGGTAGGTCTAAAAGATTAATAACTATTTGCAAGTGAGATAGAGGCCTGTGTGGAAACATAGTAATGTGATTGGATACTTGCAGTGTCGATAAGGATTGAAATGGTAAACTCTTTGAGGCAAGGTCTGTCTCTTACTATGTGCCTGTACAGAGTGTAACCCCTCAATTGGGGTTGAGGCTTCTAGATGCTGCAGTAATATTAATAATAATTAATACTTTCATAGTCAATTGAAACTTGATTTTCTGGGAGATAAGTGACTGAGAAATTTCTCATTGTGGAATTATTAAAACTGGTTGGAAGTATTTATGATTTCTACCAAAAAAAAAAGTTCTTGTTGATATTTTTGTTACCATTTTTCAATCAGCTCTTATAATTAAATAGCAACATTACAAATGAAGGTAAGGTGTTTCATTACATAAGCCACTATAGCAATGTCCTCATATAATCATTATCTTGTAGTGCAATTTAAGTGTTTATGTTTATAACAGTTTAACCAAAATTCCTAACATTTTATTTTAGTTCAAATATTTGCTTTATACTATGAATGTTATATATGTGTATAATACCCAGCAACCATATTTACAAGTGAACAGTATCTAGAGAAGTAAAATATTCTTCTTCTGCAAGTCAATGTTGCTTATCCAATAGGAAAACTAACACTATTGATCTGTAACCCCCAAAACATAATTGTTAAAATGCTTTTAACAAAAAAGTGACTACCACTGCTAAAGGCTTATAATAATCTTTTTCATTCGCACTCTGTGTTCTTGGCTATTTTTCCAGAAACTAAAGAAGAATGCCATGGGAGCAGTTTAGATTATATTACCGTGTTTTCCCTTTAGTCAGGAGATACTTGTGGGTTGTCTAAAATAACAGATGGAATCATTCTAAAAATCTGAGTTTTCAATTAGACAGGGAATTCCTCTATTTTTCCCCTTGTCAAATACATTTTAAGTTCCTGAGGGAACTACAGAAACTGCTGAACGACTCATTAGGCAATGTCGTTGATGTAAGTACATCATTCTGTTTTTGACTTAACAATATGTTCTCTCTGTTCCCTTTTTTTTTTTTTTTTAAGAAAAAATATCACTGCTAACTAGTCATTCTGATTGTGGCCTCCATAATACTTCCACTGACTTTAGTGGGAATCTTACTCTTGTGTGAGTAAGCCTTGCAGGATAAAACCCTTAAATGGCAACATAATATTACATTTCACAGCATCTTCTTGATGGAAATTACCCATAGAATAATTTGCAAAATGAATATGGGATGTGCTGTTCTTTTGCAGAAAAGAAATGGTAAAAATGGGAAAATACTGCAAAAAAATTCCACAAGTATTTCCTCAAATTTGGAAGTCTTTGATTCAGTTGTGCTCTTGCCCCTTTTTGTGTTCACTTTCAATGAACAATTGTTCAATTGAGTTTTACTTGCATGAATAGTGGTAGAAAACTAGTTTTATTCTTACATAGTCAAGTACTCATGGATATTACATATTACACTTGTGCAAGTACTCACATGTAAAGTGGTATATTTTAATGTAGGATAGGACACTGCTTCATACAAAGCACTGAACATTTAGATCTTAGTCTTTCCAGTGATGACTCTCTTTCCATCCCCACGGCTCTGGCATGGAGACCACTAAAGAAGTCACACAAGGATCTGTCCACAGCCTTTACCGATAGAACTATAGATGCAATTACTTTGCTTTAATGTGAAAGAGAAAATTAAATTTGACCTCTGTCCCAGCCAATAAGCTTAATACTAACCTATTTTTTTTCTATGAATGATGCTTCAGGGATGTCTTGTGTGCCTAAATATTTAAAATTCCCTGACTGATTATCTGCTACTTCTCCCTTAGAAATTCAAGACCCCCAGAGGTTTCAAATCATCTTTCTGATTACAAGAGTTACACTCGTCTGATCAGGGAACAGAAATAATAGCATGTTACATAAGTGACCAATCTTAGCTAATCAAAATAGATTGAGTTTGGAATATCAATTCTTGAATAGTCACAACAAACTACTCATGATCAATTCACACAGATAAATTTGATGTGGGAACTGTAGGATGGCTGTAGCAAAGAAAAAAAGAAGCAACTAAACTGATGAAATAGTGACTGCAGATCCTTTGCTCAGCTCTACTGAAAAGATCATCTGCTTGCAGAACTAAGTCTATGGAGTTCTGCATGTGGTGGAATGGAGTATCAGGTTCATAGTCTTTTATGTTTCTCTTTATTCTTAGACCTTGTCTACACTGAGAAGGTAATTCAATCTAAATTATGATAGTAAGGTTACATAAATTATGTAACTTAAGTTGACGTAGCTTAGCTCGATTTACAGCGGTGTCCACACCAGGCTTTATCGAGAAGAGACACTCTCCCATTGACTTATCACATCTTCACCAGACCTGCTAAATCTACGCCACTGCATTGATCACAGCAGCGCTGATTTAGCCCATAGTGAAGACAAGCCCTTAGTGTTTCAGTGTTCTGGGGCTGGATTTTCAAATTATCCTAAAATATTGAGGCACCCAAATCCCATTGAAATTCAGTAGCAGTTGGTCACCCAATTCTCTCTAGTCTTCTTTGTAAATCCTGGCCCTCTTTGATAATGTTATACATTATCTAGCAGCCCTTAAAATAGATCACAAATATTGTCCTAACTATATAAAAGTAGCAGTAATAAAGTCTCTTACAGCTTTCCAGTTGCAAGGTACATGTCTGCTTGTCCATAGGGTATTTGGTCAAATCCATACTACATGCAACAGTTGCAGTTATCCTTTAAAAACCGAAAGCAGATGGTTATTAACTATACATAATATTGTATGTACTATAATAAGAAATGGGTTGTCCTACTTTCTTCAACTAATATTTGTGGGCAAATACATATGCCTAAGAGAAGGTAACTGATGCTTTAAGTAAACAAGGAACAATTGAGGATAGGTTCAAACTATAAATAAAATATCTCACACTTGTTATGTAAATCTCTGCTTTCTAAGTATCTATAGGAAAATAACAACAACTAAAAGTAATGGGCCATATCCTGTAATAATTTGTAATGTGCAATGATTGGAGTTGCCCAAGGTCTAATTGCTGAATTCAGTCTCTACATCTAAGCAAGCTGATCTACTTAGAAATCAATTAGTTAATATGTTAATTGCATTGGCTTTTATTTTCATAGAATCAGAGTTAGAGGCCAGAAGTGACCATCGGATAATATAGGCTGATCTCCTGTATAACACAGGTCACGAACACCACCGAGCCATCCCTGCACTAACTTCATCAACTGAAATTAGACCAAAATACTATAATCCACAGGAGACTAAGCTACTGTGAACCACTGGCAGAGAACAGGAAGGACCAAGGTGCACCAAAGCTCAAGGCCTCTGCAATGTCAAAGATTTAATATTGATATTAATATCTACATACAGCTGGTGCCAATGACCGCCCTGCCCCTTTACGCTGCAGGGTGGGAGGGAGGGAGAAATATTTGGCTGACTTGCATGGCAGTCAGGTGCCTTCGTCCTACCCACCGCCGAATTGCCGCCCCAGCAAGTGCGTGCCTGGGGCGGCAAGCCGCAGGGGACAGCCTGCCGGTTGCTGTGAGGACAGCAGACAGGCAGTCTTCAGTGGCATGCCTGCGGGAGGTTCGCCGGTCCCGTGGCTTCGGCGGCAATTCGGCGGCGGGTAGGACGAAGGCGTGGGACCAGCAGATCACCCGCAGAAACGCCACCGAATCTGCGTGAACAGCGAATCGCCCGCAGGCGTGCCGCCGAAGGCCGCCTGACTGCCATGCTTGGGGCAGCAAAAAACATAGAGCCGTCCCTGACAGTAACTGGATAAATGGCTTGGAAAAGGACATAAAAAAAGGTATTAATTAAAGGAATGAATGGGGGATCGTTGGGGACTCCTATGCTTGGTAAGGCAGGGAGCCAATTCCCCATTCTAATAGCCTACCTTAACCCTCCTATGAGGGGGGTAGATGGTAAGGTCCCGGGCATTGGATTTGCTGGAGGGACCTGGATGGAAAAAGAGGGGGAGCTGGTGGAAGCCCCCCTGGGTATGGTCACGTCCCAGCAATGGATTTGCTGAAGGGACATAAGAACGGCCATACTGGGTTAGACCAAAGGTTCATCTAGCTCAATATCCTGTCTTCCAATAGTGGCCAATTCGCCGGAGGAAATGAACAGAACAGGTAATCATCAAGTGATCCATCCCCTGTCGCCTATTCCCAGCTTCTGGCAAACAGAGGCTAGGGACACCATCCCTGCCCATCCTGGCTAATAGCCATTGATGGACCTATCCTCCATGAATTTATCTATTTCTTTTTTGAACCCGGTTATAGTCTTGGCCTTCACAACATCCTCTGGCAAGGAGTTCCACAGGTTGACTGTGCATTGTGTGGAAAAAATACTTCCTTTTGTTTGTTTTAAACCTGCTGCCTATTAATTTCATTTGGTGACCCCTAATGACTACTGACCTGGATGGAAAAAGAGAGGAAGGTAGTAAAAGCCCCCTGGGTAATTACATAGAATAAACATGTTACCTGCACTGTACACTTTTATCTGCCAGGTAGTCCCAGACATCTAATAATAAAGTTGCAGCCTGATTAAACTCATGTCAAATGTCTCCTGTCCTTCTTTCGGTATAGCCAGACAATACCTGCATTTATATAGAACTGCAAAAATATATGTATACTAGATGTCTACAAGCAGAAAAATTTCTAAACTGGGACCAGATTAAGAGCAAATCATGCTAATATGAATAATTTAAAATGTAAATAGAAGTTACGTGTAAATATGGCTTATGAAGTATACATACCGTATGGCATAAAGGACTGTTCCATTGGGATATATTCTTATTAGACGATTTTCAACAGTGATATCATGAAGAAAAGATTTCTTTGAGTCTACTATGAAGGTGTCTGGTACCCAAAGCATTTCTACAAGACGACCATCTAAGCTTAAACTCTTATTACCCTCAAAACAAAGTCGTTCATCAGTCCATCGTTGTCTAAGAAATATGGTAGCTGTGTAATCCTGAAAGGAGATACAGAAAATGTCACAATGATCAAACCATTATTCTTCTGTTTTTCATAAGTAATTTGAGAGAAATTTTGTCCTTTTTCTCCTCTCTTCAATGCATGGAAATAGAGTTATGGGTCACGCAAAACAGACTGTGACTCTGCAATTCTAATTCTTAATTATTGGCATTAAAGTAAGCAGTTTTACTAGCTTGCTTGCTGTTAAATTTTCCAGCATTTGAGAATTCTTGTCATTTGGTGTGTGGCTGACATAATGAATAAGTGTTGTCTCTATGACCCTTATGACTGAACAGACTCTAATAGCAAACATTGTCGGCCAAACTCTCCGCTGTCATAGCTGGCTTCGTAAATCTATGGCATTCAGGGTAATTTATGTAAATACTACAAACATCTGTTTGCTCATGTAAACTACTAAACACTTTCATTTTAATATAGTTGTGCACATTCAAATGTATAAGGGTCAAGGAAGAAAGTGTAATTGGAAATCAAGGGAACTCAACCAATCAATAGCACAACTTACACCTTCAGAATGAGAAGGGTAACTTAATAATGCCAAAGACATCAAGGCTTTGCATTTCATCAAAGGCTCAGCTCGCCTTTAGCCCTGATTCAAATATGACATTTTACTTTGTATATCAGTCATGCCATTCATTAGCCACTTTTAAAATCAATGCTTGATTTTAACAAAGTGAATGCTTTTGCCATTATATTACATAATCTTTGCATTGTTTCTAACTCTTTTGAAATACTGATACATGTAAGGAAGTATGTAGTAATACAAAAAGGATATTGATATTTATTTTCTGTAGACAGATTCAAATCTTAAATGGTTAAGTGATAATACACAGCAATAAAAAGTTAGTTAAAAAGGTATATTTAATTTTAATTCTGATATTGTAAAAATTAGTAAGATCCTAACTTTGGACCCAGACTAACTCCTTTTGAAGTTAGAGTTTTGCCATTTACTCCAATGGGAGCAGGATTAAACCTTTAATATATAAAGTAAAAAGGTATACTCTACTTGTCTCCTTATTTTTTTCAATGTTTGTGGGTTTTTTATAATGAATTACAGCTAGAATGAATGGTTGTTTGAGACACATGGTAAGAATAATAGTATGATTTCTGCTATGGTTAAATAGAAGGAGATTGGTTTCTAATGGTCATATGTGGCTAGTTTTCTCAAATGCACAGGGACAGAAATGTCTCATTCAGGAGATAACTGCTGTTATGTATGTCATTCATTGGAATGGCAGAATATTGTGTAAAGTACACATCTAATTGCTGTTGATCTATGGGGTACATGATTTGCACTTGTACTTACAGAAGGCACAATCTTATCATAACATAACTACTCGTGATCTTTAAATATAAGGCTCCATTTCCTAATATCCAAGTCATGGTGTTGGTTGAACAAGAAGGAAAGCCATCTCAAAACTACACTACTGGGGTCTGTAAAACAACAGGCATTAACTTAGATAAGATAAAAAATATTACAAAGCTACTATACCATGTTTATTTCTGATATTGTATCAATGCTTGCTATATCCATACTCATTCCTATTGAGACAGGACCATCTGAAAAAAATTGAAAATCAGAACATTGTTTAAAGTAATTGTATTTAAATATTCAGTTTTCATCATTTACAACAGACTACAAAATTATAGTAACTTAGATCCATATTTTAATTATTTAATGATACAATGATTTAATATATTTAGATCACAACTTTTGTTCTTTAGATCTTTATTTCCAAGGCTTTATAAAATGTTATGCTTTTTTAATTTCAATGAAAGCTGTGGGGAATACATGTTGCAATAAGGTGCTGAGGGTACTATTCCCACTGCACATCACACCCTTTTGCTTTCAGATGCACAGCCATGTAAAGAACTCTTCCAGTTACAGCAGCTGGTTCCTCAGATGTTAGTCAGCTATGGAGTTGCTTCTGGGTCTGTCACATGATTAATCTGCAGATGAGCTATATTAGCTACCTTATATAGTGTCTATTTAAGAGATTACTGTCTATTACGTGTCACTGTATCTTGACATCACTAATTGCTTTTTGATCATTAGCAATGAATCATTTGTGTAGTTATGTATAATTATGGTAGAAAGCGAGTTGGTCATTCCATTCTTCCCCTAAAAATACTATAGCTTTAGTGAAGAACCCTTTATACAACAATGTGATTAAGCACCTTAGAAAGATATTAGTTAGACAGATGGAGATACAGTATTGTCATTGTTTCATAGTGATGTTTGTAGGGCTAGGCTTCTGATGCCCCAAAGGAGTCGAGATTTACATAGTGTGGACAGAGGGTGACCTGTTGTGAACTGAAATATTCAGAATTATGAAGGGCTCCCATGAGAGCATAGTACACAATTGTCCTGGCTGAATGTGTGCATAATGATTAAAAAAAGAGAGCATCTACTAGGAAACCAACATTGAATATATGCACAGCTTTTTTAAAGTAATTATGAGAAGTTGAGCATATTTCACCTAGCAATAAGGGAAGGTTTAGATAAAATGTATCTAGTTTACAGTGGCCCTATGATGCTCCTTCAGCTCTTTGCAGTGCATTAATATCTCGTATATGCTACCAGAGTGACATATAGGGTCCGGAGCAGTCATAGAATCATAGAATATCAGAGTTG